GTCCCAAACCTGTCTGGCTCCTGAGTGGGTCTCTTTGTCTCCAGACTTTTCCACCTGGCAGACAAATCTTAATCTTTCTTAGACAATACATTCATCTTACTTTTCTATCGCTCAAATGTCTCCAAACTCTCCCTTTCTTTAGCATGTCAGAGATAAATTATCTTGTCCGGCTCTCCAGGCCTCCTCCTGAATCAGCTTTGTTCTGCCTTGCTGTCTCACAGACTTCCAAGGCTCATTTTTCACCTTCACAGCTGACCCTCTGTCCAGAAAGTCCTAAACTCTACCTTTGTGCTTCCCAAGTCTTCACTACACCTACTTCAGTTTTCACTTCCTCCATGGAACTCATCTGACCATGCTTGATTTTGATCTATCTGAATCTCCCAAATAATCTACGGCTCATTCCTACTTTTCCTTCAGGTCTCTGCTCAAATGTCACTTGATGACATTTGTTTGGCCTTCTCTTACTTACCCTTCACTTAAAATGACAACACCTCTTCACATTGGCACTCCCAGACCTTTATGCCTGATTTATTGTTTTTCTTTATAACATTCATCATCATCTTGTATATTATATATTTACTTGTTTATTCTAAACATTCCCTTGTCCAGAATATGTGCTCCATGAAGGCAAGGAAATTTGTATGTTTTGTTACTCATTTACTCCAAAACCAAGAATATTGTCTGACACATAGTAGGTGCTCAATGAATGCTGGCTGGCTGAATTAATCTTTCTCTCTTTACAGTTCAAATGTCTAGCATGTTCTATATCACTTATCACATAATTATAGATAATTTAAGAATGTGAATCGTTGCTCTTTTATTATATTCTAAAACAAAAAAAAACTTTGGTATCCTGTATTTTCTTTTCCTTTATCCAAACATTCCTTCATTAAAAATAAGTTGAGTACCTATTATGTCATTATAAGCAGGTTCGATTTTTTAAGCAAAAAATTGAATAAATGACAGGCAAAAAATATATTACACAGGTAAAGCTGCTGCCTACAGTGCCGGCATCCCATATGGGCACTGGTTCAAGTCCTGGCAGCTCCTCTTCCAATCCAGCTCTCTGCTATGGCCTGAGAAAGCAGTGGAAGATGGCCCCAAGTCCTTGGGTCCCTCTGCACTGAATGCGAGACCTGGAAGAAGTTCCTGGCTCCTGGCTTTGGAGAGGCATAGCTCCAGCTATTGCAGCCAATTGGGGAGTAAACCAGTGGATGGAAGACCTCTGTCTCTCTCTGCCTTTCCTTCTCTCTCGCTGTAACTCTTTTTTTTTTTTTTTTTTTTTTTTTTTTTTTTTTGACAGGCAGAGTGGACAGAGAGAGAGAGAGACAGAGAGAAAGGTCTTCCTTTGCCGTTGGTTCACCCTCCAATGGCCGCCGCGGCCGGCGCGCTGCGGCCGGCGCACCGTGCTGATCCGATGGCAGGAGCCAGGAGCCAGGTGCTTTTCCTGGTCTCCCATGGGGTGCAGGGCCCAAGCACCTGGGCCATCCTCCACTGCACTCCCTGGCCACAGCAGAGGGCTGGCCTGGAAGAGGGGCAACCGGGACAGAATCCGGCACGCCGACCGGGACTAGAACCCGGTGTGCCGGCACCGCTAGGTGGAGGATTAGCCCAGTGAGCCGCGGCGCCGGTGCTCGCTGTAACTCTTTAAAATAAAATAAATAAATCTTCATATATATATATATATATATATATAACATATGGATAAGAAACAAGACTGGAGAAAAGAATAGTAAAAAGAGACTACTAAAATTGAGAATCTAATACTGTATGTGCGGCCAGAGTGTACAGGGTAAATGTGACAGACTGTGTGGGTAGACGGAAAAAGAGACAGAATTGTGAGAGACCAGAATTGGAGGTTGCTAAAGTATCACCAGATGCTAGTGCTTAATATAAATCGTACTAAGGCATATAAGCAAATATATTCTACATGGATTTTGTAAATTCACGTATCAAAAGTTATCTGCCAGCTAGCCTGTGGGTGAAAATTTGATTATGCCTAGCGACATCTGGTGGATATTTTGGAAGTGACCCTTGAGTTTCTTCTCTACTCCGTAAACACAGTGAATGCCCCGTGTAAATGCATGTCTCTGGACTGCCAATCATGTGTTAGGGCTCTAAATTACTAATTACACTATAATAAAATGACCTTTTGCATGATCCAGGGTCTCATTTTAAGAGGTACCCAGATTTCTACTAAGGATCCTTCTATCTTCCAATTAATGTCCCACTGCCTTGTGATGGATGCACACAAAATTCGACACCTCGGTTCTTTTACAAGGTAAGTTATTATTTAAAGTGCATTTGCATTCTTTGGAGAAGTCTTAAAAGAGGAAATAAATTACATATTTGCGACGTGGGGAGTTGGCAGGACAGGGAGCAACCTAAGAAACCCAACAACAGAAGACTGGGCAAGAAAATCGCAGCCATCATGTTTATAGAACACATGTACCCACATTAAAACAAACATTTTAACAATCGTGTACAAAGTTTACACATAATATTATCTCATGTAAAAAATATACATAGAAAAAAGACTGAAAAAATATTCCAAATATTAACCACCATAGTTGCTTCTGGATGACAGAAAGATATTTTTTTTAATCACAGTTTATAATATTCCTCAAATGCTCTTTAATTAACATACATTACTCCTATAAAAATTTAAATGTTTTAAATAATGCATACATTCTGATTTATTGCTAGAATTTTTCAACTTGACTTGAATTTATTAATTCCAGAAAAAGATGATGAATCAGGACCCAATTGAGCTAGAATTTCCATCAGAAAAAGAAGAAGAGAAGGCAAATATATCACAATTGTGTTCCAGGACCCGAGTTCTGATGGAGAAATCCCCAGATGTAGAGCTGAACCAAAATTCCAGGAATGTCATCACACTCCACTCAACAGTTCCCCAGAAACTTACAGAGGGCTCTGCTGGCATCAAGGAGTTACAGAGTCTCATAACCACCTGCGTCGTCATCTTCAGAGCTTTTGGGAGAGGGAATCAGGACCACCTTAAAATAGGAAGAAGGAAAATGGGCAAATGTACACGATAGGAAAAAAAATTCCAAAAGCTAAAGCAAAACCTAGTTGGATTCAGGTCCTTCCCCCAAACCTACCAATTCAGTCATCTTAAAATATCAGAAAGAGGACTCTGGTTAGCAGGAAATCCAGCTCCAAAAATTATAACTACAACAGGGCTATGCCAGTGACATTTTTTAAAAAGTATCTGAAAGGCAGAGTTATAGGAGAGGGATGGGGAGAGACAGGGATCTTCCATCCACTAGTTTGCTCCCCAAATAGCCACAAAGTCAGGAGCCAGGAGTTTCTTCCGGTCTCCAGTGTGGGTAGCTGGGGGTCCAAGCACTTGGGCCATCCTCCACCGTTTTCTCAGGTGCATTAGTAGGGAGCTGGGTTGGAAGTGGAGCAGCAGGGACTCGAACTGGCGCACAGAAGGGATGCCTGCATTGCAGGCAGTGGCTTAACGTGCTGTGCCGCAAGCAGGCTCCTCAGGGCATTTTTAAACCCAATCCCTCAGTTTTCCTAGCACTAAAGAGCAATGCTCCCCTACCGCTACTCAAGCCAGCATGCTGTTTCTGTCCTCCCTACAGTTATCAGTCAAGGACCACAGGAAGTGTTGTGAAGATAATCAGGAGAGATACTGGGAGCTTTGCTTCTGGTACTCACTTACCTTCATCCTCAGGAACTCAAGTTTTCGTCCATAAAGACAGCATTTATAAACCCAAGGCGGGAATTTTACTCAGCACCGTAAGTTCACAAAGTGCTATCATTTACATCTTATTTGTCCTTCACAGTAAATAACTCTAGGAAATGTAATTGTAGTGTTTTTTTTTTTTTAAACCCCCATCTAGAAAGCAGGCTAGGGAGTGGCTCCACAAATCAGTGGTGGAGACGGTCCTCTAAGCCACCTCTTCTGAATCCACGTGGACTAGGTCTTGCCAGAAGAACGGAAAATTATGATGGTCATAACCATGACAGCGGCAGCCAGCACTTGCCATTCTATGTACTGCACCAAGTACTTCAGCTCTCCCCCTGCACGAGGTGGATCCCATTCTCACCAGCTCCGTGTGTATTTATATTCCCTTTTCCCTGCTCTGCCATCTTCAGGGGGACAATCCATCCCTCTTAGGAACCAGCCAAGAGGCAGCGGTCTCTGGGGAGGAGAGTGCACCGCGTGAGAAAGCGAAGTGCCTCGTCTCCAGGCTCCGCCAAGTCCGAAGCAGGCGCCTCACACTAGGCAGCACAAGCTCAGAACGGGTCTGGCCCCTAAAACTACCGTCTTCTTCTTCCAACTCTAACCCTGTCCCCTCTGCACGTTCCCACTTCGGAGCCGGGTGCTCAGCCGGTGCTAATAGTATTTTCCAGGTATTCGCCACCTGTCAGCACCTACCTCTTAAGTCATCGCTCTGTCTGGTTCAGCACTTCAATTCCCAGCCCTGCTGGGCTCCGCCCGCCTCGGCCGAGCTCCGGCCGCTGCGTTCCTGCTACCATGGCGACGCGGAGGCTGGCCCAGGCCGGACCCGCCTCCAGCCTGCGCGAGCCAGCCCCTGCAGGCCGTGACCCCACCCCTCGGCGTTCCAAATCCGGCTTCCTGCCATTCTTGACCCCGCCCCCGGCCTTCTGGACTCCGCCTCCGGCCGGCCCGAACTCTTCCCAGCCGGATTGGACCTCAGGCGCCCGGCTGGCCCGGATCCCGCCCCTGCCATTTTGGACCCGCCTCCTAACGGCTACGATCTCTTACGGCCTCGACCCCGCCCCCTGCCGGTCCAGGGCCCTCCTTCTGTCGGCACAGACCCCGCCCAGGGCGCTCCAGCCAATAGGAACCCGTCCCTTGTGCGTCCGCACCGCCACCACCCCCACCACCTGGGCGCGAGGGCCTCGCTGCTGGCTGCACTTCCGCGCCGCCCTCCGACTGGGCGGGGCCCGCTGCGCTTACGTAGACCCGCACTGCTCAGCCCCAGAAAACGCAGCCGATGTGCTCCTCACGCGATTTATTGATTCTGTCGGTTCCGCGGTCCAACCGCCGGGGCTTTCAGGGCTTCGCGGTGCTCAGTGTCAGTGACGCACAGCCCTCGTAGGCAGTGGGGAGGCTTCCTCCATGCCTTAGCCCCTGGCCCCATATGTCTGTTGACCCAGCCATTGAGTAAACTGTCCAGGCCAGCCTTGGGGGCTGGGGTGCAAAAGTTCAGAATGCTATTCCAGAGAGCATCTCTTCAGCTGTGGAGTTTAAGGTGTGTAAGAGGGATACGGCTAAATAGCATCGTAAACAAAGCCCAAGTGAGTAGATGGTGCCCTGTTCTTTCTGCACTTTGAGCAGGAGCAGTGCTAGGAGACAAAGACCTACTTTCCTGCACACTCGACCTGACCTCCTCCTTTTGTGGAACCCCGACACTCCCCATATCTAACCCAACTCCAAGCTGGAAATAACAGGCGTCGAGGGGAGGCGGGGTAGGGAGCACCCGCAGTTCTGGGGCTCTGGAGTTTTGTTTTGTGCATAAAACGTGGCCAGCTTGCTGGGCTGTCCCCCATTTCCCCAAGAGTCTTCCCTCAGTAGTGGTAAAATGATGGAAACGGATCCCTCCTCCCCAAGGCTCACACCAGGGTCCCATTCTTGCTGTCATAGCGAGGTGTGGCTTGGGGGAAACGCAGGGTCGCATACTCGGTGGCGTTTTCCAAATGCAGGTGTTTCACCTGCTGGGCAGAGCGCGGCTGGTTGTGACTGTACACCTGAATGTCTGCGTAATACAAGTTGCTGTCCTCGGACACGGGGCCTTCGCTCCTCTCTTGGAACTTGGACTCCTGTAACACGCGCTCATACGTGTGTCCTCTTGTGTCACAGTCCTGTGGGGGAATGGACAGCATTATGGGAGATTCTAGGCTTGGTTTTGCCTCTCACCTCCAATGCAGGGCAGGTTAGGCTGATGTCTCTTCACTTTGCTCCTTGTGGGGCAGAGAGGGGCAGGCAACATCAGCAAATTCTACAGATGCATGAGATGTGTCTAGGGCTTGGGGGTGGAAGAGCTGAGTGCTGGGATCTGTGACTGGGCAGCCCGGGGAGTGAGAGAGACCTGCCATTCGTTACCTTTGTGCCATTCTGCTGCAGCTGCTGTGGCTGGGCCTTCAATACCTGTCTTGTTTGGCTCCCTGAGGGGAAAGAAATCTGACTTAAATCCATTTTCTCTGCCCTCTGTCTGTTGAGACTACCCTCTTCAAATTACCATTAAACTAATGTGGGCTTGGAACTAATCTCCTTGCCTCCGTTCTCACTTCTTTCACTCCTTAAAGGGGTATACAGTGGCCCTGTCACAACGTGGCCATAATATCGTCCAACCTCATTTTTACCAGCCCCTAAGACAGTTCAACAAATACATGCTGACAGCCCATTATATGCCAGGCTCTGTGCTATGTTCTAGGCTTAGAAGGATGAGTGGGCTGCTTCCTCTGCCTCAGGGGGCTTTTAATCTACTGACAGAGCCAAGTAAGGAAAGACTACCCCACTGCATGTGGGAAGCGCATGACTACACCAATTAGCTGCTTACAATCAAGTCAGTCTCTGTTCTCTCCCTCTCTCTCGGTCTCATAAGCTGATTCTGCTGCCTATAACACCCTCCCTTCCCTCTTTTGCTGACTTGTGAACTTGCTATTATCCCTTTCACATCAGCGAGTTCTCTCATTCTCCCACAGCGTGTCTGTTATACCACCAATAGATATTACAATTTACCCAAGCTTCTCTCTCAAACTCGATTGTCAGCTGTTCCAGGGCTGAGACTATGGGTCCTTCAGTACTGCCCCTCTGCCTCCTTGGGACCCCACAGAGTGTCCCAGTAAATATTTGCTACATGAATGAAAGAATGAATGACCACTCTGAGATTGTGGAAAAGGGAAGATCCAGAGGTTCAGAGGAGGCTCACCAATTCTCTCTGGTGTACTATCTCCCTTCATCCCTTCCAGGCAAGTCCTCTTTTCTACCCTTACACCCTTCCCAAAGATGCCAGTTCGGTCTCCTCCACTAGTTTGTTCTGCACACAGTTTCCCCACCCCCACCCCCACCAAGTTACCTGTTCTCTTTTTCTTCTGGAAGGTTGATGGGCAGCTCCTGTGATAGGAAAAACAGATCACACATGTTCAAGAGCCCTGGCCACTGTCTTTCCTCTTCCATCATTTTCTTTGTGATCTTCTTAACATTCTGGGATGACCTCACCCCTCCTCCCTGAAGATTCATCCTGGGCCAGGTTCATCCCCCAAAACATTTGTCAGAGATACCACACCTCTCCCAAATGGATTGTTCTGGAAGGTGGAGTGGTAGAACTGACATAACCAAACCCAAAATACAGCCTCAGGCCACCAGGCACTACATGCCAGGGATGGAGCTGGCTTGAGGGCTATTCTGGGATTGTCTAACAGGCTAATCCCAGCACAGGGTAAGAAGAGCCTGCCAAATAATGGGATATTCTGGATGCAAAGGCCTTCTTGCTGTTTCTTCGGTCCTCCCCCCACCCGCCGCAGAGTGGGAGGGGAGCAGGGGGTGTCTTTTTGCTAACCTAGGGCTCTCATTTACAGGAGTTGTAGCAACTGCCACAATCAGGGCTAACTAATTGGGACCTCTCAAAGTCCTCTGCTAACAAGTGACTGCCCTTGCTGTTTCTTTTTCCCTTGTTTTTAATTAGCAGAGAAAGTGAACGGCGGTGTTTGACCGTTCCAGTCCCGTGGATAACTTTGTCTGCAGAGCAGGGAGCTCTGAACGTGCTGAGTGACTCAGCTCCCCTGCTCATGCTGCAGGACCGAGCACTTCTACTCACTCCTGAGCCCCGAAGGTCCCTGATGGAGCCTGAGTGTCTACGTGATTGTCATCAGTTTGATGCCCAGAGGAACAACACTTGTCTGAGGAAATAGGCTGAATAGTTTGGGGCTTACTCGGGATGCTTTTTCTTGCTAGTACATTTCCAACTCGCCAGAGCCAACCCTATTTGTCTGTCTGACTTCATGTCTTCCCCCAGAGAAGTTAGCTTCTTTTGCTAATTAGACGGAGACAGAATTCTAAACCATATTGACTGTAATACCGTAGGGCAGGGGATCAAGATTTCTACTATGTGGGACAGTGGTTTATGTGTTGGTGTGATTTTTGGTTTTGGTATGGCTTGCTGAGTTGAGAGCAGTGAGTCTCCATGCAAACACTGTGGGTGGTTCAGAAGAAAAACACACTTCTGCGTCTTTCTACCTCCTCTTTGGCCACTTCAGCTCTTGCTTTATGCTGCTATTGCCCCACTGTAGCCTTATCCTAGGAATGGGAGAATCTCCTAATTCCTTGCCTCTTGTCACTATTGTTTCCTATATTATATTGAAATGGATAGAGAATATATTAATTCTAATACACAGACTAGGGCTATTAAGTGTTAGTGAACAGAGCCTGTTCCCAAGTTGGATATTGTGCAATGCCTGGACATAACTCAAACAGAGTATTAAAGTTAGATTCATATGTGACGGGATTTTATTTTTAGATCAGAATTAGGGAAACTAAATGGGCACTCTCCTACAGTGCTAGTAGGAATAAAAACTGGTACAATCCTTCAGGATTGCCATAAGTAATAAGTATAAAAAGCCTGAAACATAAATGTGTATACCCCTGATGTAAGAACTACATCACCTAAGAAATAATTATATATGGGCAACTGTAGGTAATCACTGTAGCATTATTTTTAATTGAGAAAATATAGGAAATGTCCTAGATGTCTAATATTTGATAACTGACTAAATAAATGGCATACCCAGTCAATAGGAAAGTATGTAGTCATTTTAAAAGAATGTTGGAAGAACACCTAATAGCATGGAAAATTTTACTGTTTATTCAATTAATAAAAAAGATGTTTTGGAATAAAACTTCACATTTAAAAAAATTATGGAAGTCACTAAAATGTTCCTGTTATCTCTGAGTACTTATATATAAGGTTGCTTCTTATTTCCTGCTCTTGGGTATTTTCCAAATTTTCTGCAGTGAATGCTTGTGACTTTTGTAATTAGAAAAAATAACAACAAAAATGTTTTCAAATAAAAATCCCTTCAATTGTCGTAGCATCTTTAAGTCTTTGGAGGTTTATTGAGATAACAAGAAAGAGAACAATTTTTCTTCAACCTGATACTTTTTTTTTTTTTTTGACAGGCAGAGTGGACAGTGAGAGAGAAAGAGAGAAAGGTCTTCCTTTTGCCGTTGGTTCACCCTCCAATGGCCCCCGCGGCCAGCACGCTTCGGCCAGCGCATCGCGCTGATCTGAAGCCAGGAGCCAGGTGCTTCTCCTGGTCTCCCATGCGGGTGCAGGACCCAAGGACTTGGGCCATCCTCCACTGCCTTCCCGGGCCACAGCAGAGAGCTGGCCTGGAAGAGGGGCAACCGGGACAGAATCCGGCGCCCTGACCAGGACTAGAACCCGATGTGCCGGCGCCGCAAGGCAGAGGATTAGCCTATTGAGCCACGGCGCCGGCCAACCTGATATTTTAAGAGGAAAAAAGAGATTTTTGGTTAGACAATCTGGTATAGTGTCTCTAGAGTTAGACTGATGACGGCAGACTAGCTGAGAGAGCTTCAGCAAGTTTTTAGCCTATATAATTTTATTAACTACATAGAGGATGATAAGAAATAGAATCTAAACTTTATGAGATTATTTTAAGGATTAAATAAGAGAGTAAACGTAAGACACTTAGCATGGCTCCTGGCATATAAGGGGCATCAGTAAAGGTTGACCACCGTGACTATTACTGACATCGTCAAGGGAGAACTGATCAATAGTGAAGACTGCAAACACTTGGGAGGAAAGGGAGGGAAAGAAACTGTTGTATCTCCTTCTCCAGAGGGTTTTCCGTGCTTCTAGACTCCCTATTTCTGTAGGACCTCTCTAGAGTTTAAAGGGTGCTTTGTTTTTTCAATGTTGACATTCTAGGAAACTGCATGTATTTTTGTTACCATTTTACAGGTGAGTCCATTAAAGCCCTAGAATTCAAGTAAGGAGGGACCAAATTTCTTTGGATTACAGTGGAGTATCCCTTATCCAAAATGCCTGGAACCAGATGTGTTTTAGAGTTTTGGAATTTTTCAGATTTTTCAATATTTGCATATACATAATGAGATCTCCTCTGAGAAGGGGATCCAAGTCTAAACACAAAATCCATTTATGTTTGGTATATATTCAATATCCATAGCCTGAAGCAATTTTATACAGTATTTAGTACACGAAACAAAATCATGGTGTGGAATATCCTGGTTACAGTGTCACGTCAGCACTTCAAAAGTTGTGCATTTTGGGTTTTCATATTATGGATGTTCAACTTGTATTATGGCTTCTGTCATTGTGCCTGGTGAGCAGTACTTGTTCAATAAATATTTGTTTGGGCCGGCGCTGCAGGTCACTAGGCTAATCTTCCGCCTGCGGCGCCGGCACCCCAGATTCTAGTCCTGGTCGGGGCGCCGGATTCTGTCCCGGTTGCCCCTCTTCCAGGCCAGCTCTCTGCTGTGGCCCGGGAAGGCAGTGGAGGATGGCCCAAGTCCTTGGGTCCTGCACCCGCATGGGAGACCAGGAGAAGCACCTGGCTCCTGGCTTCGGATCAGCTCGGTGCGCCGTCCGCAGCGGCCATTGGAGGGTGAACCAATGGTAAAAGGAAGACCTTTCTCTTTGTCTCTCTCTCTCTCTCTCATTGTCTAACTCTGCTTGTCAATAAATAAATAAATATTTGTTTGATAAATGGATGATTAGTAAGGACAGGATTTGAATCCAGTGTAAAGAATTCCAATCTTATTCATTTTCCATTGTACCTCACTTATCTCTCTTAAGGATAATGATGCTTTATTGATAAACAAGACATTTTTAGGCTTGACTCAGGTACAGAATTATATAGCTACAATGGCAGTGGTTAGGCCAAAATGAGGTTCAAGAGTTTTGGTGGTGCCAGAAACTGGGAAACAACAGTAACAATACCACAAATAATTTGTTATGAAGTTTTCACATTGTACTATATCCTCACCTGTGATCCAAACAATGGGGTCTTTATTATCTAGTATTTTCCATATGAAAGAAGGAACTTGCTGAAGATTGTATAGCAAATTAGTTTAAAAGTTATATTCAGATACTCAATGGATTTTCTCCTTTATCCCACTTCTGTTCTTTCAAAAAAGATTTCTCCAAAGTTAATTAGTTCAATCTAGGATTCAGTGCTTAAAAAGTATGGGCTCTGAAGTCAGGGAGGCCTGGGTTGGAATCTGGCTTTACCTGCTTACCAGCCATGTGACCTTAGGCAAGTTAACCTTGTGAGCCACGGTTCTCCACTGGCTGTAGAACAGGAAGAGGGGTTCACGTACTTCGAACAAGTATTAGGAAAATCAGATGAGACTGTAAAGTGCCTGGCACATTAGAGAATTCTCAGATACTGCAATTATTATCTGAGGAAGAAGGGAAGGGAGAGGAGGGGAAAGTGAGAAGGACGGAGAGAAGCGATGCCAGTTCACCATTCCAGCCCTGCTCTGGCCGTTCTACAGAGAGCTGGTCTGGCTGTGAGTTCCAAGGTCTCCTAAATGGAGTAAGCGCAGAAGGAGGTGCTGCTCAGGTGTTGGAACCAGGAGGTACCAGGCAGAGGGAGGTGGCAGTGGGAGGCTGGCAAGTGACGACCTCCAAGCTGTCTGACTATCCAGGCCTCCTTGTTCAACAACAGAAATGTTACCCTCTACCCTTCCGCCCTACTCACCAGCTTCCCCTGCAGCAGAGCTTGTTTCCCATGGCCACTGTGTCCGGAGGGAGCTCAGCTGTTTTTCTACATAAAGAGGCTTGGGCATTTCCTGCTTCCCGGTTTAGCTTTCCGCTGCAGCTCCCAGGGAGTCTCTGTCCGTGTCAGATTTCAGCCTAACAGGTTGGACTTTGGAAGCCACCTGCTGGACTGATTCCCAGGTGAGCGTTCCCAGTCCGAGGATAAAACAACACACAGGCTCCAGGTGAGACTATCTCAGCTTTGGGATTTGAAGCTTCTTTTGATAAAGCCATGAACATTGAACATCGTGCTTCAATAAAAAGAAACCCGAGATAGAAAAAGGCTCTGAGTTTCCTTAGGAAATGTCTCTACTACATCAGCCTGTCTTTGAAATACATTCTGTCTAATGGAATGAAGAATCTTACCTGATGTATGCCCAGCACCACTTAGGTTTGATAGAGTTCCGCTTCCGAGGTAATTAATACCCGTTTCTTATTATTACCCCTGACCAGAATCTGGTGTCTCATGGAATCTTAGATTTAGGGAGATGGGTTCTTTTACATTTTCCCTTGCTGCTGGAATTAATGTGGGTGAATCTCTTAACCATTTAGGGCCTGTGTTTCCAGGACTAAAGTGGAATTTATTATCTAATCCCCTTTTCTGGTATAAAATTCGATGATGTGGGGCTGACACTTTGTAGCATAGTGAGTTAAGCTGCTGCCTGTAACCTTGCAACATCTGGGTGCCGGATTGTGTCCCAGCTGCTCCACTTCAGATCCAGCTCCCTGCTAATGGCCTGGGAAGCAGTGGAAAATGGCCCAAGTGCTTGGGCCTTTGTACCCACGTGGGAGACCTGGAGAAGCTACTGGCTCCTGGCTTCAGCCTAGCCCAATTCTAGCCATTGTAGCCATTTAGGGGGTGATCCAGCAGATGGAAGATCTCTCTCCCTCTTTCTCTGTCTCTGTCTCTCCCTCTCTCTCTCTAACTCTGCCTTTCAAATAAAATAAATTTTTCTAAAAATTCGATGATGTTCTGATTGGAAGGGCCTCAGCAGTTCTTAACCACTCACTTTCCTATCCCCAGTTCAAACCTGCAGAATCTACTTAGCCCTTAACTCAGTTTCTCCTTCCGGTGACCCAAAGTAAAACTTACTCCGCACTCCTCAGTAACTAGGATGCCGCCGAACAGCTTCCTCTGCAGTAAATCTGGGCTCTAAGAGAATTTGTGAAACCTTCGTTTTACCTTTAGTGTCTTCCTCAGAAGCCCGGTTAGTTGTGTACCCTTATAAATTTTGGGGCCCACCACACAGCTCTGCACTCCACAGAGAGTACCATGGACTCAGAACTCCTCCTCACCTTATGAAAAAGGGGCATAAGAGTAATAACCTTATAGGATTGTGGTGAAGGTTGCATGAGAATACATAAGGGTATCTCAAAAAGTTCATGGAAAATAGAATTAAAAGCTTAGTTAATTTTGGCACAAAAATCTTGAAATCCATGAATAGTTTTTTTTTTAATATTATACACTTTGCATGAATTTTGAGAGACATCATATGTATGGGTCTAAAAATTCTTTGCACAAAAATAAACTTACCTTTTAATTTCATTTTCCCAACTTTTGAAATACTCTTGTTGCACATACAAAGTTTCAGTACAGGGCGTGGCACATGGGAAGTTCTCAGTAAGTCTTAGCTGTTATTGTTATTACTGCTTGTTCTCAGCTAATTGTCCTCCTGTGCCCCAATCACTGCACTATCTCTTAGCTATGCTTCTCTCCTGCAATCCATTCTGTAACTCTACTTTTCCTTCCATTACTTGTGCGTCCTCTCCTCAGCTCAAAAGCCGTTAATGATTTTCCATTTCCTATAGGGTAGAGTTCAGACTTCTTAGTGTGGCACTCAAAGTCCTCCGCCATGTGGTCCCTTTCCAGGCCCTTCTGTAACATAGGTGTTGAATTTCAGGATATACTGCCAAAAGTCAGTGTGTTCAAAAGAAAGTTGTCTGTGTAATAAATTATGTGGAAAGTGTTAGAAAATACGGTTAAACGAATGAGGTGTGGTTGGCTGGGCAAGGGAAGCCTTAGGAGGATAGGATGGGTGTCTACGTATTTGAAGGACTTTCTTGGTGAATGAAGGATTCTAGAACCAATGGGCAGAAGTGACTGAAATGCAGATTCAGGTTTAAAAGAAGGAAGAATTTATAATAGTTATGTCCAATAAGAAAATGGAACGGGAGACTTTACAAAGTTCTAAGTTCTCCGTTGTTCAAAAATGTTCCAGAAGTTGTTGACTAATAACCTTGAAAGAATTTGAATGGAGTGGGAATTTGGATTAAATCAGAGGTTTTCACATTTTTTCTAGCTAAGGAACCATTTGAAATACAGCGTAATTATAAATCATTATCCATGTGAAGCTGACCTAGTTGAAGTCTGAGTAGAATCCTTTCAGTTTGATGTTAAGATTCCTGAGAGTAGGCAATAAAAGACATAGTTTTCATAATTTATAATTTATATCCCCCAGAGTGTGTTACTGGGGGTTTGATAAGTATTTGTTGAGTGGATGAGGGGACAAAGGTATCAATATTATTTCTCTGTAGTATGCTTTTATTTTCAACAGAAAGCAATCCTTTAACCAAAAAACTGAATACCTCAAGTGAGAGTTTTTGAGGACTCACAGATCCCTCAGAGAGGTATGAGTGGATCTCAACAATCGTGTGAATCTATTTAAATCGTGTTGCCAAATTTGGGAGTATGTATATTTTTCTGGTAAGGGGATCTATAACTTTGGTTAAATTTTCAAATTGGTCTGTAACCCCCTGGAAGTTAAGCAACAACCACTTTAGTGGAAGAATTACAGGTGCCTGGTAAAATTCATGTTTGTAGGGGTGGAGGTCTTCTGGAAGCCCACCCCCCCACACACACACATCATACACAGAGTGTTATTGAGGGGGTAGTTCCCAGGCTTTCCAAACACATCCCAGACCCCTAGTATTAAGACTGTACTTGCAAAGGAAGCTCCCCTTGCCATCGCCACCATAACAGCCCTAGGCCTCTGTACTTCATCCTGTAGTTGACGAGGTGATACAGGGATTCCTCTCCAATATCAGAGACTAAAGCTTTCTCTCATGGGCCTCCCCTGTGCGGAGGACAGGGAGACAGTGGGGTTCCATGGGAATGGTAGAGGCTTCAGTGTCCGAGCCCCCGTGTATGCACACTCAGTCCCTCAGAATCAGAGACCGTTTCAGTGGACAGACCTTAGTATGGAAAAACAAAGTATTCACTCTGGGGCTTTAGTCAACTCTCTGCAGCCAGAAACCATTTTCCCAACCCCTACCCAAAGAGGGCCAGACAGTCTGGAGACCCTTGTTTTTGTGTCTCTAATCACCAGCTCAGACAGTGCCCTCTGGGCTGTTTGGATGGCATATCCCTTTCCCCTCCCAGGATCACTCTCTCTTTTGTTGTATTGTGAGAAAATTATGGCTAGGAATTTGATCTGGAGCCAGTGTCAGCTTCCGGGTGTGATCTCAGCATCCAAGTGTGAGCTCAGGGTGCTGTGACGTGGGGCACATCTAACTGAGAAGCTTTTTGTCTCGCTCGCTGTGACCTCCTCCCTCCCTGCCCGTCCCATCCTCCAGGCCACAGAATAGGGAGCAGCACAAACAAGGCCCTGCAATTTGGGTTTATTCAGCTCTACCCAGAACTAAACCAAAGGCTGTGACATGTCCCAAAGGACCAAACCATACATAGCGGACCATGCACCTTTCCCTTTCCCCACGGGTGCTGCTACCTCTTGGGTGCTGGGCAGCTGCTCGTATCACTGCAGGAGATAGAAAGGGATGCGCTGGTGCTGGCTCTGTGGCAATCAGGGCTCAACTCTGGCTGCTTCCTCCTCTTCCTCTGGATCGGGAGGTGCAGGCAGCAAGGAGATGTAGACCTCATTGACCTCTGTGTCCAAGTGTCGGCCACCCCGAGGTGCCTCCAGGTTAAGGATGCCATCATGGGAGAGAGCAGCTCGGACCCGCCAGGGGTCGACATCAGCAGGCAGGACGTAGGTGCGGCAGAACTCTCGGGACACAAATCCATGGCGGTCCAGGCGCTGGGGGTGCCGGGCAGACACCTCCAGCAGGTTGTCCACAGTCCTCACGGTCACCTCATCTGGGGTAAAGTGGCTCACATCCAGAAATGCCTGGAACTTGCCCTCACTGAGCCTGAGCTCAGAGGCCCCTGCCCTGCTGCCCTCCCCAGCTGGGGCAGCCCGAGGCCGGACATAGTAGCCATGGTAGAGGGTGGGGGTCAGGATCTCTTCTGGCAGGAGGCCTGAGGCAGAGAGAGAGAAAGCAAGGAGCATGAAGGGGGGGTGAGGTGAGCACAGGCTTGAAATGAGAGGAGATGGGGAGCCGCGGGGCTGGGGAGGTGCAGGAGTGGAGGGGTGGTGGCTAGAAGAGGGTAGCTAGGAAGAGGGGCTTGAGAAAGGAAATGAGGTGGTGGTGGAGGAAGGCAAGGCTGACTGGGACCTGGTGATAGCAGGGGAATGAGAAGGCACATGGGCAGGCAAGGGGCAGCAATCAGAGCATGGCAGGCCCCAAGTCTGTACTGAGGTCAGTGGGAAGGGGAACAAGCCCTGTTTGCGGGGGGTGAGGAGGGAGTCTGAGGTTGGAGGTGGCCCACCCCCGGAGTTCACTTAAGCCCGAAATGGGGTGGAAGCCAGTAACGTTGGGAGATCAGCCCAGAATTTCAGGAGGTGGGGGTGGGAGGCAAGGAGGGGGGTGGCATCTGGCCCATACCTTCTCCAAAGCGCTGTTCACCCAGGCGGCTGGGATTGGCAAATTCGTACTCAGTGGTGGCCGGGTGGGCATGGGGCACTGTACGGCCCGACATAGCTGCAGACGTGGCGACAGCCCTGATCTGAGGTGCAGCCCCAAGAGGCCAGTGCGACCCCTCCAGCTGCCTGGAGAGCCAGGGCTTGGTCGGAGGTGGGGGCGGGGTCTACACCACCCAAAATAGTGCAGAGCCTCTGGGGGCAGGGCTGCAGAGCCAGGCCCTGAGTGCAAAGACGAGGGTGTGATCCACGCCACCGGACCCCCAGTCCCCTCCCCCATACACCCTTCAGCTGTCGCAGAGGACCAGAGAAGACAGCTGGGGGTCCTGGTTCAGAGGGAGCTGGGGAGGGGTGCTGGTGCTGGAGGCTCAGGAGAGGCCAGGCCGAGCCCCTCCCTAAACAGTCAGAACATTTCCACACTCCCTTTTACTCCTCAGTTGCAGGACTGTGCCCCCTGCTTCATAAAGAACTTTGGATTTCATGTCCTGCAAGCCACATACAATCAAAGAGGCAAGAAACTTTTCTGCCTTTTTTAGGGAGATTGGGGTGCATCTGCCCAGATTAATGTCAGGGTCCTCTCCTAAGCCCTCGTCAACCCAGGGTGCCACGCAGATGCCTGGTAGTGACATGCTGGTGGTCACTCTCCTCCAAGGACCTACAAAGAGTTAATGTCCCTGGGGCCCAGCCTAGGAAGATTCCAGTTCCTGCCCAGGCCCAAGATAGTTGCTGGCCAGATGCCCCTGGCATGCAAGACTGGAGAGGAGGAGGAGGGGCACACCACGCGCCTGCTTGGGATTCCTGACTGTGTCCCAGCTTCAGAGAACAGGGGAAGGGGGTGGGTGCCTTTGGGTGTGGACGGAAAGCCAGTGAAACAAGACCATGGCAAGTCACTGGCCAGCTCAGACGTGTTTGTGTTTCTCTTTTCTTAGCTCAGTGAGTACTGGGTATGTGTCACACTGCCAAATCCCCGATCACAAGTCTCCATGAACCAGCGGTGAGCTAGGATAATAAAACCCCTGACATCACCATTCCAGAAGCTTCAGAAGACTGCATATATAAGGGGCTGGCTGTAGCTGCGGCTGAAGGAGCTGACCCGCCAGCTGACCCCCGACACTCACCTAGCCACCATGGACATCGCTATCCACCACCCCTGGATCCGCCGCCCCTTCTTTCCTTTTCACTCGCCCAGCCGCCTCTTTGACCAGTTCTTCGGAGAGCACCTGTTGGAGTCTGATCTCTTCCCAACTTCTACTTCCCTGAGCCCCTTCTATCTTCGGCCACCCTCATTCCTGCGGGCACCCAGCTGGATTGACACTGGACTCTCAGAGGTGAGTCTCCTCTGCTTGAAACCTCCTTGAAACTCCCCTATTCATTTTCCTTTCCTTCCTTGCCTAAAAACCACTTTAGGCTCATGTGTGTCCATAAGTGAAGAAAAATGAGGTTACTGCCTCCCTCCTCTGGGCACCTGTTTCTGTTTGATACTTCTCTGTATCTTACTACATTTTCCCCTGAGCTGTGCATCCCTGATGCTCTCTCCTCTAACTTCTAAGCAAGATACCCGTTCCTGGTTTGGTTCAGAAAGATTTGAAGAGAAGGGAACTGCCTTCTAACGC